AATATTTCCTGTATTTTACTGGGACTGCTTGTGCATTTATGCTTCTGGTTACTTAAAATAAAAGTTCCTCCTGCAAGGATTTTTTTTCCCGTTGCACTGGTGTGCATTTGTGTTGAACAATATTTACTTTAATTCAATTAAAACGACCCAAGGGCCAAAATATCTTCTAAAGTCACCCAATTGGAAACTAGATTTTTCCTATGTCACGATTTGACTTTGATGGTGTGCATGTGTCATTTTTGTGTTTTTTTTCCCCTTTTTTGTTGATTTTTATAGAAGACCAAGAGAGTCACTGAAAAACAAAAACAAACATTTAACATTTTAATTATGCAATAAGAAATCCATTTGAAATCCAATTGGTCTTCTTGGTCATTTATGTAAACTAAGTGTTGCAGTCTAACCAATGAGGGAGCTGGTTACATATGAGGAGCAACTGTGATTGGTTTAACTGGTTTTCAGTGTGCTCTATGGATAAAAAGGTAAAGTAAAAAGAACATGCAAATGGAAAAGGATTTTTAGATGCAAGGTGAAAAAGGAAATGGAATAAGGAATTAACTTTTTAAATGTGTGTTTTGGTATTTATAATCAGATATATGATTTGTGGTTTTTAAATCTTTAATCAGAAACAGGTTTTTAAAATACATTTATTAAATGCAATTTACAATTCCTCTTTAATAATTATATTTAAAATGACCAATTAAAAAACACCTACCAAAATGGACTCAATATTCTCACAGCAACAAAGCAACATTATTTTGCAGCCAAATGATTAGGTGAGATTAGTGCAAGCTTGATGGATTGATCAGTGTGCTGTAGCAGTGATGCAGTCACTGGACTGTCATGGTGAAGAGAGAGCTGAGTCAGGGGGCAAATTTCTTGATTTAGCGATCGATCTAAGTTCTCTTCCTCACCTATGGTCATAAGATCTGGATAATGGCAGAAAAAAAAAAGCTCGGGAATACAAGTGGCTAAAATGAGATATCAATTCAGAGGGTGGCTGGCCGCAACCTTGGAGATCGGGTGTGGAGGTCAGTTACCCGTGAGGAGCTCGGAGTAGAGTCGTTGCTCCTCGACGTCGAAAGGAGCCAGTTGAGTTGACTCGGGCATCTGTTCCAGATGCCTCCTTGTCGCCTCCTTCGAGAGGTGTTCCAGGCCTGTCCTATTGAGAGGAAGCCTCTGGGAAGGCCCAGGACACGCTGGAGACACTATGTCCCTTAGCTGGAGTGGTGCCACCTCAGGGTCACCCCGGAGCAGCTGGAGGAGGTGTGTGTGGATCGGGAAGTCTGGGCATTTGTTGACCCAAGATAAAGTGGAAGAAAATGGATGGATGGATGGATGGATGGATGGATGGATGGATGGATGGATGGATGGATGGATGGATGGATGGATGGATGGATGGATGGATGGATGGATGGATGGATGGATGGATGGATGGATGGATGGATGGCGTTCATCTGCTCCAGTTGAGAAAGCCAATGACATTAACAAGCTAGTGGAAATCAATACAGCAAAGTAGAAACACCATTTCCCAAGTATTGGGCATTGTTATCTTGTAAAAGGTCCCCATCCCTAACCAAAACTAGATGATCAGCAGGACTTACAAGGAAATCAGTTAAACATCAAAAAGCCAGAGTTTTATTTTATCCGAATGTAATTTTTATTGCATGTGATCCCGGCAGTTTGACAGTAGTGATTCACAAGTGACAATTGTGAGGGTGTTCCAGGATGTCCCTTACCTTTCGACCACTGACTGCTTGAAAAAGAAGGTAAGTCAAAATTTGCTTGTATAGCACATTAAAGCGGCAAGGCGATTCAAAGTGCTTTGTATCATAAAAGCATCAATACAAATATGCTGTAAAACCACTTCAATCTTTATAAAACATCCACCAAATGCACAAAAAATAATCAAAACATCAGAATCGTCACACAAAATCATAAAAATCTTCAGCCAGATGCACATGATGATAGTGAGAGGGTCAATGTGTGATGAGATATTATGATTAGAGCAGCTTTTCACCTGGATTTGTTTGCAGAGTACTAATCAAGTGCAGCTCTAAATAAGTCTTGATTTCACGGAATTTATTGTTTCAGCTGTTTTGCAGTTTTCTTGGACTTTGTTTCAGATTAAATGTGCATGAAAACTGAAAGCTGCTTCTCCATGTTTGGTTCTGGGGAAACAAAGTAGACTGGAACCACAAGATCTAATGGATGATATTGATGAAAATTATTTATAGTGTATTTTATATACAGATATCAAATTGCCACAAACAAAAGTTAAAGTAAAAAATATCAAACATAAAAGCTGAAAAGCTGGCCCCGTCAGGTCATCAATGCTGAGAATAGTCTGTATTACATTGACATCAATATCTGCTGGATTTACCTCCACCACTTCCTCATAATAACAACTTAACACAAAAAATGCAAGCTAATAGGACCATAAAGAATTAATATTAAATAATTGCTTGCAGGAACATTAAGGTAGAAAAAGAAAGGTCTTAGCACAAATTAGAGACGCCGTGTTGTTTGTCCTTAAGTGGCTTTTAAAAGTTTTGTTTTTCTAGAAATAGCATAAATCTATGATACACAATTTAAGTTTAGTTATTCTGTTTTTCATGTTGTTTTAATAGCATAAGGAATAGATTTCCACTGCATTAGCTTTGCATTAGACTTCGCAGAGACCTTTTTCCCCATGTATAGGTAGGAAAAAACATCTAGAATAATATAATATTCTACTTTGATTTCTGGCAGTCAACATTTTCCTTACATACTATCCTCTATTATTATACCAATCCCTCATTCGTGGCCATGGTGACAGCAGAAAATGTTTTGTGTTATCACCTGTCTTTTAAACGTGCCAAAAATAGATGCAAAAGCTGCCCCTGCAATCAGTTATAACTTCTATTCATTGTTTTATGGATTGTAAATATCGACATTTGCATATCGTTCTCCAGTTATTTTGTTCAGTTTAATCAAAATATGATTAAAATTTTCATTAAGGCAGGTGAAAACTGTTTGCTTTTGCTTCTCCACTCATTTTGGACACACAATACAAATTGCACCTAATTGAAAAATCAGCTTTGCACATGCTAACATGTTTGTATGTTGTTATAACCAGAGATGGGAAGTAACAAAGTACAAATACTTCATTACTGTACTCAAGTAGATTTTTCTGATATT